TGGATGTCAGTAGCTGCGAGAGAGGCTGGAAAATGCGGTCTAGCTGGGCTTGGAAGGCGGGTGCGGGTTCTGGGCCAGCCTCAGGCCCCTGCGCGGGGTGTGGGGCAGCAGACAGGACCACAGGAGTGGGTCACGCAGACCTGGGCTCATTTCCTAACGTGGCCATTTATTGGCAGGCGACCTGGGGCAAGATCCTTTTTCTCTCTAGTCCCCAGGGTCAAACGGAGAGTTGGGGGCAGGAACAGCACACAGGAGTGACGATTTCGTCGTGCTAATCTTGGAGTGTAGCGCATAGGAAGCGCTCAGCAGGTGGTCGCTCACGCTCTGGTAATGGAGGAGTGGGGGTTGGGAGGCAGGTTCTCACTGGAACCTTTGCTGCTGGTCCTGTTTATATATCTGTCTATCTACTCATCTGTCCAGCCATCCGTCCGTCCACTCACCATCCACCATCCCTCCACCCATCCATCCATCCATCATCTATCCACCCACCACCCACCATCCACCATCCACCATCCACACATCCATCATCGTCAACATTTGCCAAGTGCCATCCGCATTCGAAGGCACAGCTTCCATGCTCGTGCATTTTCTCCTTCATTTCACGAGAGGGAGGGTCCCTTGGGCGTCACTGTGGCACCTGCCGCTGTGCACTCTGGGTTGGGGGTGGGCGTGGTCCCTTAGGGTGCGTCTGCGGTGGCCGTGGCATGCTGTGAGTGACCGACCCTCTGTTGCCACCACAGGCCCAGAGTCAGGTCCCCGCGGTTTGAGTGACGTCGTACAGACAGGAGGACTTGGGCGGGGCTGCCCCTCGTGGGGGGTGACGTCAGCAGACTGATTTCTTTTGGGTACCGTTCCCCTGCTATAGGGGTGCGTCCCGTGGACACAGTCGAGGCAGAAGGAGTCACACTGCCCCCCGCTCGCGCTCACTGCAAGGGGCTTGTGTTTTTAAAAATTAGGCCCTGTCTTCCACTGTGGCATTTATGAGCACGTGTCGTTTCAAAGTCTTTCCCGCGACAGCAGCTCGCACGGCGGCTCGGACCCCGTCGCTCACCCCGCTCCGTCCCATTCCTCTGCGTCTCCCTCGCCGGCTGCTGCCAAATTCTCGAGCATCCGTAATTGCCACAGTGAACACGTCCAACTAAATTAGCCCAGAGTGGGAGTTCGGGGACGTCTGTGATGCCGCCTCCTAGGGATACAAGCTGCCCGAGTGCCCCCAGGACCCCGAGCAGCACGTGGCCGGGAGCCGCCTCCTGGGGCACCGTCCAGCCGGTAACCGGACGGGCTGCTCCTCAGCCTTGCCTGGCTGCGCTGGGCCCTTTGAGTGGGATAGTCCCATGGGCACCTCCTCACGTGTTCGCAGCCGGCGTCCAGGCCCCTGGAGCCTGGTCTTGAGTCCTGGGACAGTAGACGCCACAAGGCCACGGCTTCCGGGCTGGACCCCCGAGCTCCACACGGCCTGCAGCTGCCGCTCGTGGTGGGGATGCCGCAGCAGGAGGGCGGCAGCTCCGTCGTCACCGCCCCGCTGTCCTGGGAGGCCGAGCCTGAGCAGCAAAACCTCGCGACCAGAGTTTGCGAGGGGTGAGAACGGGCAGACCGTGGCAGGTGGGCATGTCAGGGCAGTGGGGACTCGCTCCTTCTGGCCAGAGGTGGAGGCTTGCCCCGGAGGATGTTCCCGTGGCTGCACCGGCCGGGTCATCCTAGCCACTCTTGGACACGTCCTGCCCGCCGCCTCCCTGCCTCTCTGTGCCTGGGCAGGATCAGGAGCTGGAGTTTTGAGCCTGGCATGGGGTGCTGCCCTGGCTCGGGGGCCCGCGGGGGCCGGCCACACGAGCGTCATCAGCCTGTCGCTTGTCAGAGGAGGCAGCGCAACCCCAGTGGCCGGGTCCTGGGAGCCCATTCCGGAGCCCTCAGCTCGGCCCTGGACCTGCCCCCTCGCTTCCCGGGGTGCAGGCCACGTGGCCGGACTCTGCACTTCCTCAGCGGCACCGGGGATGGACAGCGCCTGGACCGAGGCTGCGGCGTGGCCTGTCTGACTCAAGCCCCGAGCCCCACCTGGCCGCGCGTCCGAGCCCCGATGGGCCTAAAAGTAAATGCAGGTTCCCGGGCTCCATTGCATCCCACGCAGAGCCCCCAGGGTGGGCCTGGGGGTCTGCATTCTACAGCTTCTCCTGTGCACGTGAGGAAGCCGATTGGCCGCTGGTGTCCGATAATCCAGACCAGGCGGAGAGCCCGGGGCAGAGTAGGGGCGGGGCCAAGACTGCTGTCCCTGCCCAGACCCCAGGCCTCGACCCCCCCCTCCCCGTCCTCCGGGCTGTGACATCCACCCCTGTTCCTTCACCGCACAGGAAAGGAGCTGGCAGTGTCCAGCATGACGGTGAGGCAGGGGCTGGACAGGGGAACAGGCAGGGCGGGGGCTGGGCTGGTGGGAGGGGGGCCAGGCTGGTGGGGGCTGGATGGGGGGCGGACAGG